TCTCACCATGGTGACTCAGCTCTTAGGAATTTATAGAAACTTCAATTCCTGGGACCTGGAAACTTGCTTGCTTCTACTTCTTTAAAAGCCAGCGGTTCTGTAAAAGCCAGAGCCAGCTTCTCCAGCTTTATTCAAACTGACCAGTGAGAAAGGTACCTATGGGCTGGAACTGGGGATAAAAAGAAGACTGAGCCAGTCAGGGAGTGGGGCCATTTTTAATTCTTCTGTGCCATGACTGCCGACTGAAATAAAGCTCTTTCTCTTTTAAACGCAGTGTTTGAGGACAAGTACAGTGGCTTATGTCTGATAATCTTAGCACTTGGAAGGCTGAGGCAGGTGGATTGCTGAACTCATGACCAGCCTGAGCAAGAGCAAGACCCCATCTCTAAATAGCTAGGCGAGTGGCCAGTGCCCGTAGTCCCAGCTACTTGGGAAGCTGAGACAAGAATTGCTTCAGTCCAAGAGTTTGAGGTTGCTGTGAACTATGATGCCACAGCAGTCTACTGAGGGCGACAAAATGAGACTCTATCTCAAACAAAAAAACAAAAGACCCCACAGTGTTTGGATGTTCATTCTCTCCACTAAGACTTATCTTCTTGCAAGAATGTCATTCATTGGTTTTTAAAAATTTTCAGTTCTGCCCCATTCTTTTGCCTCCATGGACTTTAGTTATATCTATGTTAGGTTTTTTCTTCAGTGTCTTGTATATTTCTAATTTTAATTTTTTATGTTTGGTTTTGATATTTTTTATTTGCCCCTATTCTAGTTTATTCTGTCTTTTACTGTGATATTTATTGAATTCTCTTAAGGAAGAGACCATCACTCAATATATCCAAAACCCAAACCCACTCAATTTCTTTTTTGCTAAGCAAGAGAGAACTGTGCTTATTAGACTTGGCTCCCTAAATAAAGCAAAGGGCAGATAATCATAATGGACTTTGAGAAATTTGGACAGTTTAAAAAATAGGAGTGTTTAAGGATTGACTTGAGTTTTTATGTGTAGTTTAGAGATTCACTAACTAATGTCAAAAAATTAATCCTTTCTTGAAATTAGAGAATAGGGGCACTTTATTTTCTGTTCTTAATTTCAGATAACGTATTTTTAAGTCCTAGACTATCCAATTCAAGTCTGCCTATTCATATTGATAATATCTAGAGGTTTTTTCCTTGTTTTAATTTTGTCTCTTATTTCTGTAAATATTTAGAACATTTATATGTTTGAAGTTATTTGGAGACCAGTTTTGCTTTTTGTTGTTTTCATATATGATGTTTTATTTCCCAATATATTTGCTAATGTCTTAAATTTCATATTAATAATCAGGTAATCTTAATCTTTGGGAATCTTAAGAGACTTAAATGATGAGTAAATTCTTGTAGGGAGGATTTGTAAAATTAGATCAATGGCTTGGGATTTTCCAGGTTACAAAAGTAATATAAATTCAAACCTCAAATTCATTTTCAAATAGACGTATTATGAATTTTGACCATTAATCTTTACCTGATGGTAGACTTTAAGTTTCTATATTGGCTTTAAAAAATTAGGTACAGTTTTTTTTTTTTTTTGAGACAGAGCCTCAAGCTGTCCCCCTGGGTAGAGTGCCCTGGCATTACAGCTCACAGCAACCTCCAACTCCTGGGCTCAAGCGAGTCTCCTGCCTCCGCCTCCCAAGTAGCTGGGACCACGGGCGCCCGCCACAACACCCGGCTATTTTTTGGTTGCAGCCATCATTGTTGTTTGGCGGGTCCGGGCTGGGGATTCGAACCCGCCACCTTAGGTGTACGTGGCTGGCGCCTTAGCCGGTTGAGCTATAGGCGCCGAGCCAGGTACAGTTTTATTTAATAAAATACACAGGCTTGGGCGGCACCTGTGGCTCAAAGGAGTAGGGCGCTGGCCCCATATGCCTGGGGTGGTGGGTTCAAGCCCAGCCCCAGCCAAAAACTGCAAAAAAAGAAAACCCACAGGCTTGTGGTGCACACTTCTATGGGTTCTGATATACTGTATACTCCTGTGTTTTCAGACGTCTCAGTAAAGATATAGAACATTTGAATCACTCAGGGTAGTTATCTTTCTGAACACCTCATCTTCTAAATGAGGCAACAACTGATCTGACATCTGTCATTAGAGTGTATTTTTTATAATTACTTGATGCATGCTTTCTTTCTCTCTCTTTTTTTTTTAAGACAGTGTCTCACTATGTTGTTCTCGGTAGAGTGCCATTGCGTCACAGCTCACAGAAACTCTTGAGCTTAAATGATTTTCTTGCCTCAGCCTCCCAAGTAGCTGGGACTACAGGTGCCTGCCACAATGCCTGGCTATTTTTTGTTGTTGCTGTTGTTAAGTTGTCATTGTTTTTTAGCAGGCCCAAGCTAGGTTCCAAACTACCAGCTCTGGTGTGTTTGGCTGGCGCCCTAACCATTGAGCCACAAGTGCAGAGACCATATTTTCTTTTCTTAAGTATTTTTTTTT